AATGTTTATATAAATCCTTCGTATGTGCACAACCTATATTGTAAGAACACTCAGTCTAAACTATTTTCGAGAAGAAACTAGGTGCTTGGCTAAACTCTCTATGCATCCACTTGAGACCCTGATCGGAGATTGATGGTCCCCCAAACAAACGGAAACCCTTACGTCGCCGATCGGAGGTCCATTTGACTGAGTTGCCTCGGTGTCTTCATCAAACTTGTCAGGACCATCGTTGTTCGGATTGACCTCGGTGCTGGCAATGGCTATGCCCAGAAAGAGGATCATTTCTGGCCAGGAAAGCTTGTTGTTTTGGAGCTGGCCTTCTTCAAAAACAATAAGACAGCAATCTCAATGTGAGAAGAAAAGCAAAAGGCCATAAAAGGCAATTCCACAGGTTGGGAAGTTGCAGGCAACATCGTGGGGTCTGGTTGTTGTTGAGCAACACTAAACAAACAAGGGCTGAGCAGTCTGGTTCAGACCACCAGAACCCAACAAAAGAACTAAGCAACGAGGTGGGTCGTGAGTCTTCATCAGACCTGTTTTGTTCATATCGAGCAATAAATGCAAGGTTAAAATGTACTGCAAAGTATGCAAATCTCTCACTAGGACAAGAACGGTTTTATTATGCATTGTCGGCCAACTGAATTTGCACCTTGCCAGCATTGTGGTCCACATTGCCGTTCTGGCACCAGGCTAGGGATCAATTTTCCAAAGCTCGAATGGTTCTTCCAGCCGCTTTCCAAAGATTCATGATCTATCCATCATTGATTCTTCTATATTCTTCTATTGTTTGTTCCGTTGACTTCTCTGGAAACAAACTTCTGTTCCACGGTTCGATCACCCATGGCTGTACGCTTCACTCTCCGTGACGCCTTCATGAGCTGGCCCAGGACGGAATCAGGATCCACCTTCTTGGACTCCTTCTTGTGGTCTTGGTGCTCCTGCTCGCTCTGCTCGTTCCGCTCACTTGCCCTCCAGAATCCAAACTTAAATTAATAGCTTTTTGTTACTAGTAAGGCACTTGTTACTACTAGCGATGCACTTGTTACTAATAGCTTTTTTGTTACTTACAAATTTACAAATACCAAAAAAAGGAACACCTCTCGCAGGCAAGACTCTCAAATCTTCACCAAATCTCATGAGAATCTAGACGACGTAAGTCGCTTACCTGCATCCTTCACATTTGTAACGCTTTGGCCTGTAGCTCGTGGGCTTCTTGCTCCGCCATCTGCTGTTCCTGCTGCTCGGAATGCGCTGCATAGCATCTGGATTAGCACAGACTGTTTACTGCTCAAGCCAACTAGAATCTCCAGCCTCAACATTAACATCTTGGCCTGGGTTCTGAACTGGAATAAATCTACAAAAGATTCTTCATGGTCCAAAACATTGGTAACAACAACTGTCCGTATCCTGCAACCCTGCACCCACCCGTCGCACCTTGCTCTTCGTGCCCTTGTACGGTAGAGAGAAAGAGAGAATTCACAAAATGTAACCAACAACTTTGGGTAAATGCACCAATCAGAATGAAGGGCTCATCATCTCCACGGGTTTGATCAGATTTACACAATACTTATGCAAATCAAACAATCTACGCTGCAACATTCCTTCGTAGGCTATGCAAAGGTAGGCGAGCACAAAACACAGAATACCTGCCTTGTGCAATGAACCGCATATTCCACAGGTGTAATAGTCTAAACTGATCGGAACCCTTCGTATCATTCCTCTTCATTTCAGCTGCATCCAAAAAGAGTGGAAAATCAAACTGATGTTGAATTCATTGCCAACCTTAGCCGCTCCCATCATTGAGTTTGCGTGGAAGTTCTTTTGGATGTCCCAAAGTGAAACATAGTGAGACCTAAGCCTATGAGCCATGATGAGCCATGATCAGCCATGATCAGCCATGATGAGCCGTGAGCTGGAAGCTCGGACCTGATTATTCATCAGCTTGAAGAGATCGAAGAGTTCCTTGATGCCGCATCCGGTGACACGTACGAGTACTCATCACAGATCATGCATCCAAATGAGTCGAACGGCAGGTGACATGTCCTTTCTGCGGGAAATGGAATTGGTGTAAGGACTCCGAATTCAACTGGTATGAACACAGCAAGGTCAACAAGGAGAACAGTAAATTGACCAAAACATCATGATTCCTTTAACTTTAAATTACTGCAAGTCCATGGGCAGAAACCGTAGTTTCTTTACTTTTGAAATCCTGTGTTGTTCGATCTGAATCTCAACTGGGCCCCACACTCTTGGCTCTGCCGCCTCAACTTCTTCCACTGCTTCGGCCCACAAGCGCCGCGTCAACTGCAATGGCCGTCAAGATGGGTTTGGAATGTCGATCGACCTCTCCCAGCTACGCAACATCTTTTCTGGCTACACACAGCCTGAAACGAAGAGCTTCTCGAAACTCTGGCACCAAAGTGTGAAACAGCTCTAACATGCTGTAACGGACTGCCGTTTGGATATGTTTGGATGGTATCAAAGGAGATTCAAAGATTGATGGAAACTGAAGGTTTGGGGGCCTCCTTCTCCTCCTCCAGGCGTCTCTGCTCCGCTGCACGCTCTCTGTGCTCCTGCAAGGATCCAGACTCACTGGATCTCACTGGCACTAATTTATGTTTAGCCGTAGTGATTGCAGCCACACCCAACCAGCAGAGGGGCAATTATTGCAATGGATATCAATGGATACTATTTCTGCAAAGTACAGTGCTCTTGCACTCTTGTGCAAGCTTAACATCCCCATAAAACAAGACAAACAACACAAACAAGCTTTGAGTGTCCTCAACAATTCCAAGAGGAATTACACGTTTGCAACGGCGGCATAGACCCAAAATGACCCACATGCTGGATCAGAAGATGATCTCTGTGCATGAGCCCTCCCATTTCATAGTGGATATATACGCGCGCTTTTGCCAGATGCACGAGGCGTATGCCGTTCGCTTGGCAAACCGTCCGGATCGTCCGGCTCGCCTCGATCTCGCGAAGCCGCACACGAAGTTGGGCGCGGGCTTCGTCCCAGACCTCCTTGGGCACCTGTGGGAGGCTAAAAAATGAAAGCGCTCTGTTCCTCAGTAGCTCAGTCATCCATAGTTTTGAAATAGCCATGGTCTTTTAATTCTGAGTCCGGTTTGGCAACTTGTTCTTTTCTCTGGTATTGTCGGAACTTGTTGCTGCATCATCTCCAGCTTCAGGTGAGGGTTGCACGGAATGTGTACCTTTTTAACGTCGACTCTGCATAGGCACCTCTGGCAAAGGTCCTTCCTCTCGTCGCTTGAATGAAGCATAGGTGTACTCCTGGCTGCTACAGTGCTGCAATGAAAAATCAGGACACTTCCGCACTTTACTTTCGCGTCGTCATTGGTTGCATAAGTGATGAAACATAATTAATTTGAACAGCTGCCATGTGGGGTTATTGAATACTTGGGCTCCCAAGCTGGCTCGGGCTCCGGCCTGTGCAAATGAAAGCTTCGAGAGTTCTCCAAGTTTAAACCTTCCCATGACTTGATCATTAGAATTCAGAGTCGGGCCACGCAATGCTTCTTGGCAATTCTGATGGTTGCCAAAGTATGCTTTAACGCACCGGCGATTGCAGTCATTGACAACTTGGGCCTAAAGAAGACTGCAAGAAGTGCCAGCACCAGGCCGATGAAACTGATAAAGGTCACCTTCGACGGGGCCGGATTTGTAAGGAGGTTGTTCCTGCAACAACCCGGCTGGATGGTGCTTCAATGATGTTTCGGGGATAAGCTAGAATGTGTGAAGCCGGGGAGGAGCAAACAGTCTCAAAACGAATCCAGGTGTGGCACCGAGTTCTTCATAAAGTCAGTTACTGATCAGCAAATTCTTCAACATAGACTGAGAAGCACCAGCAATTACATGATGTCAACTGCTCCTCAACAGATTCAGTCTCCTGGGAGCAACACGGTGGTCGCATATCGACGAGGAGGATCACCTATCAATGCAAGACCATGTATCAAAGTGTAAAATATGTTAACTGTTGCTTTTCTCTTTTCTCTTGACAAATGTTCGCACAAAAGACCTCATGGCACCTTCTGAACTTCACCTTTGCAATTTGAGGAGCTTTGTCTCATCTGAGATCTTGACCCAAAGAGAACAACAACACTTCCAAGCGGTTTGGCTGAACTCTGCAAGAACACATCCAAACGGTGCCTTCTGTAAAGAATCCTAAGAGACAAAGAAAGAAGCACTTCCAACCTGTTCCCTCTTCGCTGGGCATGACCTCACAGAGACGAAGCGTGACATTGGCTAACTGAAGCCACAGTTGGGCGTGACGAGGCGTGACGCATTTCCCCAGTTGGAACCATCTGCCCTTGGAACTAGCGATTTAGGGGTTCCCACCGCCGACAAAACGTCCGTGTTGCGAGTGCAGTGGAGGAGCGAGAATGGAGAAAGAGAGGGGAAGCATGGAAGGGCGATTGCACAAAAGGATTCAAGAATGCTATCTGCAGTATCACCCTGAAGGCTGAAACATGCTGGATCTGCGGAATCGATCCCACCAATTTCTCCCCGTATCGCACACGAAAAGTCTCCCTGTCCACCCCAATCACATGCTATTCCGAAGTGGAATGCCACTTGGTCCGCTTACCCACGGGCCCCCTGTATTCACTTTGTTGGCAAATATATATATATATATACTACAGTATATACATCTATATACAGCTTTGCCTGCTGGCTGGCTTTCATGCTCCTTGCACAAACAGGTGGCAAGTACAATAAAATACAATAAAGCTGTAAGGCCCTCTCAGCTGTAGGCCCCAGACGACAGCCACTCCCAGTTATGCCCCAGGGCTGAGCCACGCGTGCAGCAACACAGCCAAGCTTCTGGCAGTCCAACCAGTAACTATGAATACTTGAAACGTTGAATCGGTCCCGATACCTCAAACACCGAGGTAGTATGGATCATACACCTGGAAGGCCCAATCGGCAGCCAAACTCATGCAATGTGATGGAGACCCTAAGCTTTCCGAGCAGTTTATTTTCCAAATCAAGTCATGCGGATGCCGCGCGCAAGGCGCACATAGGGCATTGGCTGTTCGTAAGGACAAGCCATGACAAGCAATTTCACTGCCGGGCACAGCTGGTTCCACCGCTCAGACTGAGGGTGGCAAGTCTGACCTGCAAGTCTTCACACGAAGCCACGCATTCGGGGTGCATTGGCGGTACGTCAAACCCTTACCATCCTTTGACTACAGACAGGCATAACCATGTTTCAACTAATCAATCTTGAGTCGCACTTTTGTCTTTGGCCAAAGCTGCCTGCAATAAAAGGGCCACGCAGGGCAATGCAGAGTATCTTGAGTCAGTGCCACCGCCAAGTAGCAAGCATAGATCCTTAGAGCGAAGAAGAAGAGATCAGATCTGGTCAAACCCTTCCCGAGTCATAGTGTTCGTCGCTACTAGGTTGGAGGCCATCGCTAATCAGGTTGGCATGGCCATTTAGGTCGGTTTTGATGCCAAAGCATCGTGCTTGAAATACCCTTTCGGTGGGGCGTGTTCATAGATGTTCATATCCGTCAGTGCACTGAGATCAGTACACAACACCGATCCAGCACGCACTATCGGGAGTTCACTAGAGCTATGGTCAACATGGGTCAACCACATTCAGAGTCCACAAAACTGATATCTGTCAAGTCTATTTTAGTCTGATCTTCTAAGAATCTGAGCCGTGTCCTGCGATTGCCGAGGCAACAAATTATTCATTGCAGCCGCCCTGACACTCTAGCAAATGCCAAGACAAGTGGTGTGGAATATCTCCTGCCTGCTATCCAATTTGCTCTACATAGACGTGTTGATTGCAACCTTGCAACTATGTAGATTTATCCAATGATTGTTGAAACCTTTCCATGTTCATATCTAAGCATCAAAATGAAAACGTATCCAGACCATTTGGGGAACTTGTTGCTGCAAAAAATGTAGACCAATATCACTGGAAGCAGCGTGACCTTAGGGCAAAGCGCTGTGTGCTCAAACAGAGATACTTAAAACATGTAAAGGCACCCTGTGGACAACAAGTATCTGGTGACCTGGGATACCGGGCATAGATCTCCACTACCGCGCTTTCCAGTCCGGTGAAGGGCAAGTGAAAGCTTCCCCTGGCATATATCTCGTCTTGTTTTGTGGAATCAATAATGGTGCCGAGCCTCCTGCACATTACTGAAGCAAACCAGCAAACCAAGTGTGTGTGTGTGTGTGCGACTTGTCCCAAGATGGTTGGTATCTCAACAACAGGGTTGATTGCGTCGTTGACTCACCCGACTCGCCTGTTGATGGCGCACTGGATGGCCCATGGAATTGCCAAGGCAAGGAAAACATTTTGTACCTCATGGATAGCGAGACAGTTTCCCTGCAAATCTGGAGTGACCAATGACACCACATGACCCAACCACAAGTCTTGCGTCCACTATGGAATGGGGATCCCCGCGGGGCCTTCCAAGCCTGAACCATGGCATTCTACAACATTGCACGGAAAGGGCTGCTCTGTGCAGACACTTGTTTCGTCAGGGGTTCATCCACCAAAATAACATCTCAGTGTATATTGAAATTAGGATAACCCCCAGTCAGACCATCTGCAACAGTGACTAGAGTAGAAATAGGCCCCTTGAGCCCGGGGGGTCTCCCTATTCCAATACACACTGTTCCATCTCTGGTCGGTCGCACATTAGCTCCCAGGGCATTGGCGACGGCCATGGTGGTCTTTCCTTGCCTGCCGATCTTGCTGAGAGAGACCTATGCCAAGAGCTTTGGCCTGGTGGATTGGGTGAATCCGATTAATCATATAGGTGATTAGGGTTTCTATGGTATAAGACCTTCGATCAAAACTCAATCGCTGGCACGTGCAAGTGGATGCGACTACATACCAGAATACATGAATAAATACATAACAACCATTGACAGTTCATGACAATTCCCAAGTCACGGTCCAAGTTCCACACAAGCTTTGACAAATTGACAATGCCCTAGCTGCAAACGGTACTGCAGCCCACTTGATGCATGTGATGCCATGTCCTTTACATATGTGCCTCCAACCTAAGAGCGATGGCCTCCAGCCCAAGAGCGATGGCCTTCAACCTAGTAGCGATGGCCTCCACCCTAGTAGCAATTGGATGACATGTCCTTTGCAAAAAGGATACGGCCTTTTGATGCTTTTTGCTGACCCCATGGAATGCTCTCTGGAGCTCTGTGGCAAACGTGTCTGAGATAGCACCTTGAGCACTTGGTAATAAACAACCTGACTGTGAGTGGAAGCAGGCATATTGGCAGACCAACGATGAGGCAAACCATCAGGGCAATTTTTGGGAGCAATGTGGAGGTCATTCTTGCTTCTTTAAGAGGCGTGCTTTCGCTTGATCATGAGAGATCTTTGGGACAAAATGATTTGATCGAATAGCGGCAGTAGCATGATAAACCCTAAATTGGTCGTGCAAGAGTATCTACGCCCAGGACTGATGGGCGTAGCCGCCAAGCACGGCAGCAAACTCCCTGTAAACTGTAAACAACAATCTGAAAGGGACCTAGGCCTTTGAAGCTTTGCCATTGGTTTGGGCAATTCAATGACAGTGATATTATTCTGTAATATTAGGCGGAGAAGTTCACTCGAAATATGTGCGCTCGACAATGAACAAGTTCTTAACAATTCCATAATATGAATAACAGTGCAAACCCTTAAACCCTAAACCCTGAAACGATAGTACCATAGTACCTGTAGTTGATTGGTGCTGGATCCTGGCACTACATCATATACCATAGTGAAGCCTTCGGATAGAGATGGCCTCCAACCTACTAGCGATGACCTCCACCCTAATGGCGAAGCCTTGAAATGTCAGTGAACTCGTTCGCCCGGGCCTGGCCACACAAATGCCGCTGAAAACGTTGGGGAAGGAGGTACCAGCTGCAGCAACTGTGTAGCCCAAGACCGAGGTAGAAATGCCAAAGTCCTCACAACGATGCTAAAGGATACCTAAAGGATACCCAAGGCATTGAGACCTCCAAGTCTGAATCATTCTATTCCAGCTAGTTAGGTATCTGAGTCATTCCATCCAAATATTTGGCAAGAATTACATCTTGGAAATTTGCAGCCCATTCCAAAGGGCCCCGAATCCAAACTCTTAGAGCATGTCTGTCCAGTCTATGATCTTCCGCCTGGTGGATACCATCACAGGCTCCCACCACGAGGTAGGCGAACAGCGCCAGCCAAACCATACTTAACACCTCATCAGCTGGTGATGTCTGATGACACAGCAAACCAAGTCGCACTGCTCATCTGTGTCCGTGTTTTTGTGCCAAGATGCAAATGCCCAAGCATATAAATGCTCTGAATCCTCCCGGCTGACATCTGGAATTGTCAGCTCCGTGAAGGATTTGATTGGGAATTGAAACCTCCAGAACTCCGGGCTTGACAGATCGAGATCGTCTCAAACACCGTTTGAGCAAACATCCTCTGTGACTCCACAGAATTTTAGTGGCTGCTGGTGGAAAACAAATCACGGAAACGCAGGGGATTACTACCGGGATTACACTAGTCAATGGCCTGCAATGTGTTCAACACTCGCACCTGGCAGACATGAAAGCACGACTAAACTGCTATCCAAGACACCACTCCAGCCATTTTAGCAGCACGCTCTGCGCAGTGGTATGTGGCGGTCCAACAGCAGCTTGAGTTCGATGGTGAAGAATGCCCTCCTGATTTTGCTTGAGCATGCGCCTCTCCAGCTACATGAAACCCTGTTTGGGGGCGGTCACTCTTCTGAACTGTAGAAGCACTTTGGCAGCATAGTCAGCCCCAGATAGCTTTAGCTGAAGAGGGCTCGTCTTTATAACAAACACCGTGCACGGTGAAAGGAAAGTATGTATATGCCGTCAAGGACCCATCAAACCCAATATCTCAAAATGTGTAAAGGAGGTATCCACAGAGAGACACTGTAAATAGATTGAAGGTGTTCAAAGCAATTGATGTCAATATGATATGCTTTGAAACAAGAGAATTCACTTGAATTCACGCTTGACACTTGTGGAGTCCCAAAAATACATCTGAGAGAATTCCTGTTGCTCTCGATTCTGCGATGTCCGAGACTTGAGCACGACTCGTTGCTTCGTCAAGGCTCCTTCAGTGCTTGGGACCAAGCCTCGACGATCTCCTGACATGGATGGAAGGTCGATTCGCTTCTGCTGCTCAACTCTGACCTCTGACTGCACCCCTGTGTTTTGGATGATTCTTCTCCCTGCGTGACGTGCACATGGCTCAGTGAATTCAGGAAAGCTTCGTCTTCCACTTCGAAGGCTTGACCTGCAAACCAAGCCTTTTGGAAGGCCAAGAATGCATGCCCGGTCACCTAATTAAGCAAGCTACTTGCGGTCGTCAGGTGTGGTATGAAGTCACTGAATTTGACGCCTGCAAACAATGTAGGGAGGTCTGCATATTCTGCTGCAAGCCTGATACGATGGATGAAGTTCTGCTGCTCCTTGCATACCTCAGGAAGCCTTGCTGGTTGCATCATGATCTGGAAAAGGCGACAGTCGACGGCATTCAAGCTGGCACCACCTGATCCAAGCAATGCTAGCCAAGGCACAAGCTCATGCTCCTTGACCATGAGAATGGCCAAAAACAAAGGCGAAATGGGAGCCCATGGCTCGTCTGCTGATTGGTAATGCAAGAAAAGGGCCTTGCAGCATCTGGCCTCAGGTTTAGGTCATTCTACATATTGGAATCAACATACAACCTATTCAACCTCTTCAACCAGCAAACAATCAGGCTGCTTCTTGGCTATTAGCAACAAATCCCTTGGTTTTCGCACGTTGCCCAGCCTTATGAGCCTCCCAGATCAGAAGCTTGGCCATCTGCAAGCTCTCGGCCATGATCGCCACGTGCAATGGTCGTGGCGCGAAGAAGGCACAGGGAGGAGAGAAGGCGTGGTTCGGAAAAACCTTCTTGGACAGCCTTCAGGGCTCGACACCCGAACGTCAAACCGTCTGACATCCCCATATGAACTATTGTGGAGCTTTGCACGCCGGCGATGCCATAAGGGGGTCTTGTTTCCGTTGTCGGTCCCATCCTTACGCTGTAACATCGAAATCTATTGAAACAAAGACCATTTTTCAAGCATGTGTTCGGCGCTTGCGCGCGAAAAAGGCACTCCAAAGCATCACCAAGCTTTTCACCATCATGTTTAGAATTGCAGCACACCGTCGTATGGGCGATGTTTTCACGAAACAAGCCCATGTGTCCGAATCTTTTAACTAAGAGCAAGCCAAAAACCACGGTATTTACAGCATGTTGTTGTTTTTTGCATTATCGAAACGACAAAGACTGTACATACCGACCTTGGGAAGCCCCAAACCACGGCACTTGCGAGTGCTTTTTACATTGCCGCTGTTGAAAAGCTAGGCTCAGCATGGCTCAGCTAGATGTCAAAAACTGCATCGCAGGGTTGGGCAGAGCAACCATATCCGCCGACCGCTTGCGAGCCAAGGGGAACACACCATTTAGGGAAAAAAGCAAGTCTGGTCCTAGGTGGCACCTGCCATCGGACTGTGTGCTGGGCTGGGCTGTGGGGCAGAACTGCACTTGAGGCCCAGTTGTGGCACCGTTTGGACGAGTCGGCTATGATCGAGGCTGGGTGTTGGAGTTGCTACTAGTAGCTCCTGGCCTTACTACTAGGAACAAGAAGCTACTAGTAACAAAGGGCATCGCTACTAGGAGCAAGGATGCTACTAGTTGTTCACCGGCATTTGCCCTTTCATGATTCCACTGAGTCTCTTTGCAAAAGCTCTTTCTTCTGCTGACGAGATCGAAAGCGTTCGGAGTTGCTGAAATCAAGCACCCTACTTTGAATTGCCAAGCAAAAGACAAAAAGCATGGTTTGCCATGGCTACCCCAACCTTGGAAAGACTGATGCACGTCGAAACGATGACATCTCCTGTTGCGAGCCAAAGAATTGGAAGGCATCCTGAAACAGCTTCTGAAGCCTGCAAGTGTGACTGGCCACTGCTTCATGAGGCTTACGACGGAGTGCCAAAAAGGCATCATCCAATGCAGTTGCAGACAGTGTCAACGTTCCTTTGGCCAAGCTCATAGCGCAACCAAAGTCCTCCTCGTCCCCGAGCTCCAATTCCTCAAATTCATCCGTCAAAACCCCAAAGAGCTCTCTCTTGGCCTTGCGGAACTGCTCATTTGGCTCGTGAGAACGAGCCACGAAGCAGTCTGGTGAAAAGGCCACAGTGTGGGCCTTGCTGGCGACACGCATCTGAGAGAGCCCCAAAACTCCCAGGAAACATGCCACCAGGCTGATCGAATCACATGGGATCTTGGTCGAAAGATCTCCAAGCCCAGCCAAGTCACCTACAGGGTTAATGGATTCCAAGTTTGCCATTCGACCTTCAACACCGACCACACAACCCATTGTCAGGTAGCCGGTGGCACACAAAGCGAAGTAAACTTGGTACACTTCTCGATGCGACCGAAGGCGGTCTTTTCCACCTATGGCGAACAGCGAGTGTCGCGGGGTCCGGCCTGTTCACAGGCCTTGGGCTTCCAGTGCCACGATTGGCCGAAGGGATCCCTTGATGGCAGCGGAAAACATCAAGGATCGAAACATGAACGGTCCGGCGGCGGACTTGACAAATCCGAAGCAAGAAACTTCACATGCCCCGAAGTCCACCGCTGGATCTCCAACCACGTTGGATCCTTTGGATCCGGGATTTCGGAGTCCCTCTCAGCCAGCTCCTTCTTCTTCACCTTCTTGGCGGCCGTGAAGGTCTCATCGAAGACCAGGTTCCACCTTTGCTTCCCTTTGAGAAAGCTTGCAATGCCGTCTGCAGCAGACAGCTTGGTCATGCCATCTGCAAGCTGCTGGTGAGAGTTTACCCACCTCAGAACCGTGTTCTGCTCCTGCAGTTGCTGGTTCAAGCCCATGACCTCCAGCGCCGTGTGCTTCTCTTTTGCAGACAAATTGGGCACATCCTCCTGCTTGAGCATGTCGAACAAGGCTTTGGCGTCGATCACCAAGATGCCAGCTGTCTTCTTAGCAGTGGTGCTAGGATTGCTCAAGTCCAGGTCCTCGCCCAAAAGCTCTTGCCACAAAGCGCGAACCAGAAAAAGCTCTGCCTCACATTCTGCAAGCGCTTGAGCCTCAGCAGCCAAGCTTGACCTGCACACCCTTTTGAGTTTGTGAGTGCTCCAACTCACCAAGCTGACATGCCCTTGAAGTCCTTGGACCATGCTCTTGTTCACAAAGCCAACCACATATAGCCTCCCGTCGATGACAGGTCGATGCGGTTTGCAAGCGCTGCATCACTCCAGCCCACAGCCACGATGTCCTCATCTTGTGAGGCCTTGAGGTCATAGACCGACACCTTCTCCTCCTTTTGGCTGTAGAGCTCTCGGACAAACTTGTTGATGTCCTTGAGGATGTTGCGATCTCCTCGCGGCAGCATACTCTGCAGATGGCTGAGTTTCGCAGCATGTTGTGGTCCAGTTTGGTAACATCTCCATTGGGCTGCTCCCAACACTGCACGGCATTGGTGAAGCTCATTCTTGGTCAGCTCCTTGCCATGACCATCTTCTGTCACCTGGTTGAGGCCTTCACAAAACTCTGACTGACTCAAATGCCAGGTATTCTTCTCGTCTTGGCTCATCCAGACACCGCAATGCACCATGGGCGACACCTCCCAGGGACTCCACTTCAATGAGTTGAAGAACTTTGTGAGGAACTCTCCCCACAGCTGATCCTCCTCATCACCCATCAGCAGGAAGTCGTCGACGTGCGCTCCAACTGCTCCATGAACCTTAGTCCTCCCTTGCTCATCTCGTCGTCGTAGCACCCAAATGCTCGGGTCCACATGAAGACGATGAAGGCCCAACTGAGCAAGGATACGGTCCACGTGGTGGTAGAACTCGCGAGGTGCAATCGTCAACCCGTAGGCTGCTTTCATGAACTGCACTGCTTGTCCTTGCTGAAGTCCCATAGCCTCCTGGAGTTCAGAGACCGGCATTCCAAAGATCTGGCGACGTAGTTGAGTGTCACCACCCTGCAAGAAAGCAGCTTTGGCGTCTGACTTCAAAGTCTGCCAACCCTTATGGATGCCCATCTGCAGCAAACACTGACGTCCTCTGCGTGTCAACGTTGGGCTCCGCACTGATTCCAGGCCAAGGTCAGGGTCAGTGAAGCCAATGACCACTAGGCGAGCTTTCGCCTTGACGAACTTCGGGTCGTTGGTGCCTTTCAGAACCAAAACCCATCTCATGCGCATGAGGCGCTCTGCTGGTACTGGGCCAATGGCTGCCCTGCAGACTTTTGAGCTGAGCCATTCTTGGATCTCGATGCCTTTGGCTTCTTTCATAGCCTGCCTTTGTTCTGGGTTGAGTTTCTGCCAAGACACTTCTACTCCCTTTGCAAGCTTCTTCGCCACGAATTTTGCAGGATCACGGACAATGGCACGCCATTCACTTTCGTTAGCAGGAGTTGGGATGGTCACCGCAAAGGCATACTCTTCCACTTGATTCAGGAAGATCTCATCCAGGGCCATCTCATCCACAAACATGTTGTCAGGCTCTACAGTGCCCCGTTCCTGAAGGAACTCTTGACGTTGCACATGCTGTGGTCTCTCTGCATGCTCATGACGTCTTCTTGCTTGAAGGAAGAGAGGATGACGGTAGAGTGGTGCTGGATCCGGTTCTTGCTGTAGTAGTTGTTGGGGATCGTGGATCAACCCTTCTGGATCCAAGTCATCTCTTACCTCATGGCGAGGATCGAGTGGATCTTCCTCCTCCATCTCTACTTCGGGCAACATCTCCTCCTCCGGTGGCAGAAACTCCATGCGAGGTCGAGAAGCACTGGCCAGCCCCGTAGATGGTGCATCTTCTTCCTCAATGGATTCTAAGGCTCTCTTGGCGCGGTAGGTCCTTTCGCGCTCCTCTGCAGTCAGTCTGGCACGCTTGGCTTCCTCTCGTTGCTGGTGGTCGGTCGTGATCTCATCATCGAACTCTCCCTTGTTGATCAAACCAGTCAAATCTTGGAACGTCCAAGGAAGCGTCAACTGCGTCGTGCCCTGAGCCACCAATCTCTCTCTCTCTGAAGCATGTCGAAGTTGGTTCACGTGCACCTTCTTCAGTCGTCCTGAGGCAATGATCCAGGCGATT